TGTAATCTCCTTATAAATCAGTGGCACCATAGTGTAATGTGGTTATAAAGCAGAAAAATTCTTTATGAGAAGGCAGCACAAACTTACATTTTCTTTTATTTAATCTTTAGCTTATATATATGCATGTCCAACCTGGCCAAAGCACAATTGTAACCTCGGATGATTTCCATGCAACCATTCCACAGAGTTAGTGAGTCTGCATCCAACTAGGGAAATTGTGTTTTTAAAGGGTGATAAATCTTCAGTTAGTAAGGAAACTCACCTACTCAACCCATCAGAAGTCCTAACATCTAGCCCAATGCTTGGTGCGTAACAAATTAATAAATGTTGCTTGGCTGAGTAAATGAATGATTATCATCTTCACTAAATTTTAAGTTCCTTGAGGTCAGAGACCATATACTTGCAACAAGTAGTTGCTGAATAAAGAAGGAATGAAACTAGCAATTAGGTTGTACCATGGAAGGTTCCGGTGGGGCAGAACCCTGGTATTCATGGTCTTCCATCACCCCCTGGTGGGGAAGGGCAGGGCATGGTCCTCCAGTGCCTTAAAATCTCGTGTGTTTTTCAAACTACGGATCCCCATCCATTCGTGAGTTGTAAAATCAGTTCAGTGGGTCATGACCAGCATTTCTAAAAATTGAATTTATAACTAAACAGAAAGTATCAGAACGTCTCATGCATAGCAGAGGCAAATTCTGTCACGAACCATCCTAAAGCTATATTTACAACTATATCTATATATTCACTCATATGCTACAGATGTATTTTAATGTGTGTATTGGATTACAGCCAGTGATTTATCAATAAATGTTTAACAACGAGCTCTTTAAGAAAATGTATAAGTATGTATGTGCATAGGTTTATCATAAGGTTTTCTTAATATAAAGTGTGTAGCACAGATTTTTACAAATAATAAAATGCACAAATATTCTTTACCGTAAATTTCAGATAGTAAAATGATTCTCACAGAATGCTTTCACTGATTTTTGCTGGACTCTTGTATCTATAAACAACTTACAGTTTGAGTTCAACCATACTTGACAAATGGAGTCACATCTCAATCTAGACGATCCACAAACCAGATAAAGCCCTGATTTATAGTAATAGCCAGTTTCACCAGTGTAAAGACTTCCATCATGGCTGGTTTCACACTATCAGTGTGATGTCGCTGAACGCACAGTTGGGAAAATTGCACTGTAACTTACCATTCAGATACAATGGATGTTAAGTAATCCCAAGAGCATAGGTAAATAAGGACATAGAGTAAAATAATTAGGAAATAATGAGTTCTGAATATTTATGCTGAGTTTAATTGTTAGTTTATATAATGTAATTTTATTTTTTTTCTAAAGATTTTATTCATTTATTAGAGAAAGAAAGGGTGAGAGAGAGAAAGCACAAGAGGGGGGAGGGTCAGAGGGAGAAGCAGACTCCCTGCTGAGCAGGAAGCCCGATGCCAATGCCGTACTTGATCCTCGGACTCCAGGATCATGACCTGAGCCCAAGGCAGACGCTTAACCGACTGAGCCACCCAGGCACGCCTATAATGTAATTTTAAATAATATCTGTGTTTAACAATCAGCTTGCAAAAGTCCTGAAAACTTAACACTCTGCTCTCATAGGCCTGAATGGGTTGGCTCCAGCACACCATTGGACTCACAACAGAAACATACATTTTCTAATATGGGTTGAAGAAGAAAAAGAAGAAAAAGAAGAAAAAGAAAGAAAGGAAGGAAGGAAGGAAGGAAGGAAGGAAGGAAGAGAAAGAGAAAGAAAGAAAAAGAAAAGAAAGAAAGAAAGAGAAAGAAAGAAAGAAAAAGAAAGAAAGAAAGAAAGAAAAAGAAAGAAAGAAAGAAAGAAAGAAAGAAAGAAAGAAAGAAAGAAAGAAAGAAAGAAAAGAGAGAGAGGGAGGGAGGGAGGAAGGAAGGAAGGAAGGAAGGGAGGGAGAAAACTTCTCTAGAGACCTACAATTTTTCAGGTCTGGCTTTAACCTAGTCTTCAAAATTCTCCCGGGATGAAGCTGCATAGTCTTAAGTGGAACAAACCCAAATCCTTTCTACAGAAATACAAATCCTGGATGCCTGGGTGGCTCAGTTGGTTAAGTGCCTGCCTTCAGCTCAGGTCATGATCCTGGGGTCCTGGGATCAAGCCCCACATCAGGCTCCCTGCTCAGCGGGGAGTCTGCTTCTCCCTCTGCCTGCCGCTCCCCCTGTTTGTGCTCTCACTCTCTCTGTCAATATAAATAAATAAAATCTTAAAAAGAAATACAAATCCTGAAAGTTTCAGGAGGTATATTTTTGAAAGTTCGTTTTGGGTGATGTCTAGAGTTTCTGTTTACCCAGGAGCCTTTCACCGTTTCTTGGGGTGGGAGTCAGCATCTGGATTTTCACTAATGACACACTTTAATAATGTCCAGTGCACCTCCCTGTTCTTAACCAGTATGCAGTTTGCTATGGAAAGTAACAATAATTGAGCACCTGCCAACCTTCAGAAGCTAGAGATGGTTTCAGATACTATTTACAAGCTGCCTTCACAAATAACAACTTTCTAGCTGTGTAGTTTTTATTACCAGTCATGAAAAACCAAACTGGTGTGATCACCATTATATTTTCTTTTTAAAATGTAACTTTTTGAAGGCCCAGAAACATCTTGCTATGGAAGAATCCTGATTAGGTAAATGCAAATTTACAGATATGAAGATCATCTTAAGGTGGTTAAGGAATTAATGCTTTTATTCTCATTAGTTTATTAATTCTCTGCATGAAAGATTTTATTTATAATTAAAAAAATTTTTTTTGAGTTTTTTAAAATTTATTTGTCAGAGAGAAAGAGCACAAGCAGGGGGAGGAGCAGGCTCCCCGCTGAGCAGAGAGCCCAATGCGGGACTCGATCCCAGGACCCTGGGACCATGACCTGAGCCAAAGGCAGATGCTTAACTGACTGAGCCAGCCAGGCATCACTGCGTGAGAGATTTTAAACATCAGTCCATTATAGGCATAAATCAGGCCAGTGTTTCCCAAAGTTTGGTAGCTATCCTTGATTTAGGGGCATGAGATTATTTTAAGCTGGTGATGATGAATATTTAAATATAAATGTTTTATTTGTAATAGAATAAATATAACTGGCACACAGAATCCATGATTTCAAGGATATTTTTGGCTTGGGATGCTATTCAGTAGGTATTTAAGTTTGAAGTGTGTGCTGAAGAAAAGTTTTAAGTAAACAATAGTATTTGGTGGTGTATGAACATAGCAAAAGCAGTTAAGGTGGCTGTAATGGCTTGAACAGTGATCCTCTAAAAGATGTATATTAACCCCTGGAACCTGGGAGTGTGACCTTATTTGGAAATAGGGTCTTTGCTGATATAACTAAGGATCTCAAGGTAAGATTATCCTGGATTTAGGGTGGACCCTAAATCCAAGGACTATTGTCCTGTTAAGAGACAGAAGGAGAAAGACACACAGAGGGGAGAAGGCCACATGCTGTTGATGGAGGCAGAGACCGGAGCTATACAGCTACAAGCCAAAAAATGCCAAGGATTGCAAGCAGGCACCAGAAGCTAGGAGAGAGGCATGGACAGGAATGTCTCTCAGAGCCTCTAGAAGGAACCAATCCTGCCAACAGCTTGGGACTTCTGGCTTCCAGATCTGTGAAAAAATAAATTTCTGTTGTTCTAAGCCAAGAAGTTTGTAGTAGGGGCACCTAGGTGGCTCAGTCAGTTAAGCATCTGCCTTCAGCTCAGGCCATCATCTCATGACATGATCAAGCCCCACATCGGGCTCCCCGCTCAGTGGGGAGCTTGTTTCTCCCTCTCCTCCCTCTCCTCCTGGCTCATGCTCTCTCTTGCTATCTCTGTCTCTCTCTCTCTCAAATAAATAAATAAAACCTTAAAAAAAAGAAGAAGTTTAGGAGTGCCTGGGTGGCTCAGTCGGTTGGGTGTCTGCCTTTGGCTGGGGTTGTGATCTCAGGGTCCTGGGATGGAGCCCTGCATCAGGCTCCCTGCTCAGCGGGGAGCCTGCTTCTCCCTCTCCCTCTCCCTCCCCTCAGCTCATGCTCTCTCTCTCTCTCAAATAAATAAAATCTTTAAAGATAAATAAATAGATAAATAAATATTATAAAAAAGAAGTTTGTAGTAATTTGTTATGGCAGTCCTAGAAGACTGATACAATGCGGTGGGGAGGGGGGCGGAGGTTGAAATTTGGGAAACATTGAATTAGGCACCCAGCCATGATGGGGGTGAGAGGGTTTAGCTCTGTGATAAACTGAGTGACTGAGTCACCAACACCCTCATCTGATCTTAACCCCCAGAGTCCAGCATTTTCATTCAATACAATAGCTGTTTTAAAAGTTTTTTAAAAAAATCTAATAACATTTAGGGCGCCTGGGTGGCTCAGTTGGTTAAGCACTCATTTGGTCTCCTCAGCTCTATTTTATAGCTGGGGAAACTGAGCCTAGAGACGTGTGGTAACAGGTTGAGTCAGAGTCAGGATTTGAACCCGCCTCCCGCCTGCCTGTGTCAGACCCCGCGCTGAGTCTGACCCCTGACTCGCCTCACCCCCAAACCCCGGCTTGTGACAATCCCATCACCATCTGTTCCTTCTCCTGTGCTAACCTCCCTATATCCGGATGACCGTAATGACCTCAGGTTCGCAAACTAACTCTTGGGAAGGGTTGAGCTCCTCTTGGCTCCCCATTTTACAGATGAGAAAACTAAGGCGTAGATGGAGGAGGTGTCTCCAAGCTTTTAGGAGAGACTAAATGATGCTGTGACCACTGCTCTAATTCCTACACTACTGCATTTATTCTTCCCCATCTCCAACAAATACTCCCAGGACCTCTTTTTCCCAGACCCAGAGCAAGAGTCCGCGCCTGTCGCCTGGCGGCCGGACCGGGAGCAGAGCGCAGGGCTTCGGGACCGGACGCGCTTGCAGAGGCCGCCAGTGGCCGGATGGGGGAGCGCGAGCGCTCCGCGAGGGGTGGGGCTCGCGGGCGGCGCGCATGCGTCCCAAGGGACGCAGCGGCTTCTTCCGAGCGAAGGGCAAGACGGTGGCCGAGAGGACACGGGGAAGCGGACGGTGGCCGACGAGGTCGGGCATGGAGCATCTGGAGTGCTGCGCGAGGCTCCTCCGGGGGACGCTAGTGCGAGCGGCGGTGCGGCGCTACCTGCCCTGGGCGCTGGCGGCCTCCATGATGGCGGGCTCCCTCCTCAAGGAGCTCTCCCCGCTGCCCGAGAGCTACCTCAGCAACAAGCGCAACGTCCTCAACGTGTGAGTGCGCCCCGGGTCCTCCCTTGTCCCCGCCATAGCCGACCCGCCGTCGCCTCGTCCTGAGAGCCGGGGCTTAGCTGCCCTGATGGACGAGTCATCGGACGGGGAGAACCTCCTCATTGTGACGGCTGCGTCTGCACGCGTGTCGCGACCGAGGGACCCCCGAATGGCTAGGTCACTAGCAGTTGATGTTTGCACGCCCAGACGAGCCGGCTTGAGTTGACTGGGCAGGGAGTGACAGGCAGGGCGCGGGGGGGGGGGTGGGGGGATGGGGTGGGATGGGGCGTTGAATTGGCCTCTGTCGCTGCGCCCCCCACCTCCCCTTGGAGCTAAGAGTCGGCCCCGGACCTGCTTGGGAGGTGCCACGTCCCTCCCGCCTGCCTGTGTCAGACCCCGCGCTGAGTCTGACCCCTGACTCGCCTCACCCCCAAACCCCGGCTTGTGACAATCCCATCACCATCTGTGCCTTCTCCTCCTGACCCCCGAAACCTTTGCAAGCCTTGCCCCAGCCTATGATGGAACCCCCGCTCCAAGATAGTCCCTGAGGAGCGGAATCCTCCAGCCTCTGACCTTTACCCAGGATCTCCTTGGATCTTCTCAGCCACTCAAAGTTCATGGCGGTAGCCCAAGAAAGCAAGCGCAGTTGGGCTCTTTGAGACATCTCCCTCACTCCACCCACTCATGCCTTTTTTCTTTATTTTTTTAACTCCTGGATTGCAAGGGTTTGGCATAAAAACACTTGCAGTAGTAAAGTAGTAAAGTTTTATCTGGAAGATAAAACTTCTCCCTTGTGAGTTTAGATTCTTTAGAATTACAGTGTCTGCAGCATCTCCCAAAAGTCAGCCCAACTTTGGCCCTCGACTTAAAACCCTGGTTTCTCTCCCCAGCAGTTTTGTCAAATGCCTGACAGGTCTTGGCTCTGGCAAGATCCTTGCATATCAGTCCCAGGGAAGATGTGAGTGACAGGCTCTTGGGTGGTGTCTGACTAGCCTTTGGAACCCAGGAGAAAGTTGTCCTGTCCTTGGCCCCGTTCCTTCCTCACCCACCCGTGGTGGCTGGGCTAAGAATAGATGATGATGAGTATGGTTGTAGCCCCAAGTCTCTTGTATGTGTGTTCTCCGTGGCTGGTCCCCCAGGTCAGCCACCTTTGATGAGTGAGGGGAGGCAGACAGGCAGCTGCTGCTTTATCTGGCCTGGGTGAGCTGGGATCCAAGCAGCCTGGTACACAAGTCCCTGTTGTTTGTGGGTAACCATGACCATGGATTCTGACGTTTTGTTCCAAGCCTCTGTGCTAACTGGAGGGAACAAGTGAATCATTGGCCCTGGGAGGGATTTAAAAACTCATTTGGTCTCCTCAGCTCTATTTTATAGCTGGGGAAACTGAGCCTAGAGACGTGTGGTAACAGGTTGAGTCAGAGTCAGGATTTGAACCCGGTGTTCTAGCTTGAACTCAAGCTCTGTTCTGAGATCATTGCTGCCATGTAGGAAAGAGCCAGGGTGGAGAAAAAACATGGGCTTTGGGGCTGGCCAAATCTTGATTTACTCTGGGCTTGCTGGTAGTGTGGTTGTGACCCTGGGCAAGTTAATGAACTTTTCTGAGCCTCACATTCTCTATAAAATGGGGCAAATGAGACTTCTTCCCAGGGTAACCATGAGTGTTCTATGTGTCCACTTCCCCAGGCTCTGGATCACAGATTAAGATCACAGGCCCTGGATTTGAATCCCAGCTCTACCACTAATGACCTCTACTTTGGGCATGATACTCCTATACCTCAGTTTTCTTATCTGTCAAATGGGGATAATAACAGTACCTCCCTCACTGAGTTGTTTAAGGATTAAGGAGTTATTACATTTGAAATTTAGTAAGTGAACTTTTTATCTGTAGCTTTTATCAGCTTTTCTTATTTGCCCTCCCTCGAGACTCTAGAGACCCGAGTCACGACCTTGTCTCCTCCCTGTCATGTCCCCTGCCTTCACTTCCACTTTCATCTTCTGCTAGGTATTTTGTGAAACTGGCCTGGGCCTGGACCTTCTGTCTCCTCCTGCCTTTCATTGCCCTCACCACCTACCACCTGACAGGCAAGGCTGGCCTGGTCCTGCGGCGGCTGAGTACCCTGCTTGTGGGCACAGCCATCTGGTATGTCTTCACAGTTCTTTTCTCCAACATTGAACACTACACGGGCAGCTGCTATCAGTCGCCCGCCCTGGAGCGGGTCAGAAAGGAGCACCAGAGCAAGCAGCAGTGCCACGGGGAAGGAGGCTTTTGGCATGGCTTTGACATCTCGGGCCACTCCTTCCTGCTGACCTTCTGCGCCCTTATGATTGTGGAGGAGATGGCCGTGCTGCATGAGGTGAAGACAGACCGGAGCCACCGTCTCCACACCCCCATCACCAGCCTGGTGGTGGCCCTGGGCTTTCTGACCTTCATCTGGGTGTGGATGTTTCTGTGCACGGCCGTTTACTTCCACAACTTGTCCCAGAAGGTGTTCGGCACCCTGTTTGGTTTGCTGAGCTGGTATGGGACCTATGGGTTTTGGTATCTGAAATCCTTTTCCCCAGGACTTCCTCCCCAGAGCTCTAGTTTGAATTTGAAGCAAGACAGTTACAAGGAATAAACGAGAAACAAGAGGGGTGATGTCAGGACAATGGCTAATGTATTTTTTCATTATTTTTCTTAGTTATTTGACTAAATTATTGATCCTGCTTCAGAGAGGAAGCATACCAGGAGGGTTTGGGGAGTGGTGGCAGAGTCTGGGGAGTGAGTTTACTCCCCACGCTTCTTGTCACAAGCACCACCATTCCCAGTCGGGCATGTTTTGTCCCTGGCAAGACTTGACCTTAATCTGGAGTGTCCCTTATGTCCCTGGAGGGCAGAACTAAGGCTCAGTGAGAGGACCGAATCGGGAAAGCCTCTATTGTGTGGCTGAAGGGGAGGCCAGGGCCTCAGGGCCCTTCTCTGCTGCCATCATTCTCTCCCTGATCCTTGTGTCTCGTATTATGATGGCTGTTAATGCTGTGGTTTGACAGTATATTGCCCTCTGGTCAGTTTTGCATAAGCATTTATTTCCAGCAGTGTTCTTTATAAAACAGCCAACTGCCTGAAAGACACTCTCTGCTGGTGATATTTGCTTATCCTCAGAATGTTATATATTGCAACTGACTTGTGATTAGCTACCAAAACTGGAGTGCCTCTCTGGCTGAGTGTTGGATGATATTTATGTAACGGACATTGCTAGTCTTCCATGTATGTTGTCTATTATGTATTGGTTTTTGGAGCAATAAGGTTACCTTTTTTTCCTACAATTTTGAGCAAATGCTTTATTGTTTTCAATAACAACTATGGCGTTTGTTCTTTGTTGACAGAACCCCTGAGAATAACTCACAACTTCAGTGCTGCACTTTGGTACGTGTGTAGATAGCTTTGAGGGTTTTTTGTTTGTTTGTTTGTTTGTTTGTTTAGAACACTAATTTACTTTTTATAATCCAAACTTTTGGCTTATGGTATTAAATTCCACCTCACTTCAGGAGCTGTTTTCTCTATTAAGAATAAAATCCGAAAGCAGACATTTTCATGACAACTGGATGAAATTTTAAGCTGAGTCAGAGTAACTGCAAAATGCATACTTGCACTGAAACTTTCGTGACCACACATCAGTGGTTAATCTGAACAGCGTAGTGATAAGTGCATTGACCTATCTGCTCTGGCCCAAGGAATTTTTACATTTTGGACGAGATTATGATAAATGGGAGGTGAAGGAAAATGTCTTCCATTGCCTCTGATGGCAGGAAGCCAACCTGTTTGCAAAAATGTCCCTATTAAATATTGGAGTGACTTTGGCCCCACCCTCCTTGTACCAACACCAAACCAAACCTGGGCCTGTTCAGCTGGCCTTGAAACCGATCTTTCTTTCCCCTGTGCACACTTCCCGATGTCCAGCCCTGTCTTTCTGTGGCCTGTCACCTCCACCCACAAAGGTGCCATTACAGCTCTGTGATAGGACACCGCCCCAGCCCCCTGCCCCCGCAGGCTACATCCTTAGGCCTTTTGTATCTGGCCCTTTGCACTTTGGATAATCATCCCGGAAGCTTCCTTGATGTTCCTTTTCTCCCCACCAAGTTAAGCCTGATAATAGCATTAACTGACAAGCACTATACTTTACTGCCTTAACTCAAGCTTAGATTGTTAAGAGCTTGAGGCCCGGAAAATCTTCAGGGTAAATTGTCTTTCATATAAAGATGTATTTAAAATATGCAGTTGATATCCCATCAGGCTGCATGTTAATTTGTATCCATCAGAATGTGAGTTGTGCTACATTGTACCCAGAGGTGGCAGAAACACTGGTGCTGGGATTCCAGAGGTATCACCGGGGTGCTTTGGGAGCCTTGGCAAGATGTCACGGGCCCTGTGAGAAATTTTTTGCCCTCTGGAGTTTCCGTCTGTGAACAGGGAGTGGGAGAGGGTGGCATAGGTGGCAGGGGCTGGTTGAAGGGTTGGGGTCTCTCCTGAGTTTCATGTTCAGCATCAAAAGGCAACAGGCACAAGGTGACTCCACACGTTCATTTGTCACACTTAAATCTCCAGTTATTTCTCGCAGATCGGATCCAGGCTCAGCATTAAGTTAATTCTGTGGAAGGTGTCCATGACTGACCCTTGTGTATCGAGTGGTCATCCACCACTTCCTGTTCAGTCTTAGCACCCTTGCCTTTCTCTCAGGCACATGTTCTGTATCCCCATTTGAAACAGCCTGGTGTAACTGAGAGTGTGGGCTTAGGTAAACCCAAGATGTGGGTTCCAGTGTTGGCACCACTGCTGAGAGTCGTCTGACCTTGGGCAAGCTTCATGTCCACATCTGGACAATGGAGGAGATGATACTGTTAGGATTAAGGGCAGCGATGTATGTAAAACACCCCGCACCTGTGCTCAGCAGACGATAATCCCCCATCTCCCTTTGCCCCACCAAGCCTTTAGAACTTCTTGGCTCCTTAGGGAAGGCAGGGAAATGAGCATCTGCTTTCAAGTACCATTTGGGGTCTGGGTCTCCCATTGAAATAGTCTTGTATCATCTTCTGGAAAGTGTCTGTTGTCCCCAGGTGCTGAACAAGAGGCTTTTAAGGGCATCTGTGATCCCAGAATCCTGCCATGCTTGTTTTGCCTCTCGTTCTGAGGTTCATTCACTGACACCTCATTTTCCATGTGCATCTGTCATCATCTGAGTAGCAGATTGTATTTAGAGAATGGTTCTTGCCACTGTTATGCACACACAGATCGTGTGTGTAAACAAACAAATTAAGTAAACTGGAGATAATGAAATCCCACATTCCATGTCTCGTGTGTTCTTTTCTAAAACCTTTAAGAAAGCCCAGAACCAGGAGAGCTCAGCCTACTTGAGGAGAATGGTGTAGTTCTTACTTGAGCTACTCGCCATGTAGGGTATTTCATGACCGTACTTACTCTTTTTGTTTCCTCCTAAATCCTACAAACTAAGTTTGGTTTATGTTCAGTCACATATTTCCTAGCTTGATTGACTCCTTCCCTCTGTGCCATATCCGTGTCTGCGAGTCCCAAGGTCTGGATCAACCAGATTTGGGAGTTTTCCTGGCAGAAGGAGAAGAGCTGAGCTTCACGGAAGTCCTGCTGGAGAGCAGTTACAAAGTTCACTCCCATGGGTTCGGCTGGGAGAGTGCTCTGTGCCCTGGAGGCCTAGACACATGTGAGGGCTTTCTGTGCCTTTTCGTGCCCACTCATTTGTCAGCCTAACCTGCTTGGCACCGCCAGGCAGTGTCTGTCGAAAACTCCACAGCTCCAGGATTAGAAGCTCCTCATACTGCAGAACTTCCCTGCGCGCATTCCTTCACGGGCACCAAACTTCCCAAGTTCATGCTGTGAGCCAGGGGCTGATGGGGTAGGCTAAACTCCCTCCCCGCTAGTGTTTGTGGTCCAAAGTCCATGCCCTCGGAGCTTCGGGTGTGTGCTGGGGTTGTGGAGAAGAATTTGATCCGTCTGTGTGTTCAAGGAATTGTCAGTCTTGTGGAGAGGACACAGACGGAGCCAGAGAGCACCATCCAGTGTCCTGAGTGCTGGGGCAAGGTCAGGGCCTGGGTCCAAAGCACAGGGGACAACCGGCTGCCCTGGGGAGTGAGGAGGTATTTTCACAGAACATAACCAGTTAGGCAGAGAAGGGAATCCCAGGAAGGGAGAACAGGATGCACAAAGATAGGCTATGGTGAGTTTTATCCAGACATCCCTTCTCAAGAAACCTACCATCCCTCCCCTTTTCAAGAGCAACAGAGCATGAAGAAAGGTAGACTTAAAGAAGGACCGTCGGTGGAGGTGATGGATGAGACCTGCTGTGAGCTAGAAGTCAGGCTACCTGGCTGTGAGCTGGATTCTGCCACTGCTTGTGCTGCTTTTCTGTGTGACTTTGAATTCGTCACTCACCATCTCTGGCTCTCGATTTCCTTATCAATAAATGACAGGAGTGGACTGAGTAATCTCACCAACTCTTCTGGCCTATTCTGTTTCTCTATTCTGCTGGGTGAAGCTTCCCAAGCTGGTTATGACTCCTATTTTAGGAAACAACATGAAAAGAAACTCCTACTCAGAGCTGAGGTGGCAACTGGTTTTCTAGTGAGTGACGGAGGAGCCTACCTCTGGGTGTTCTTTATCACCACCCCACCCCCCTTTAACTCTGCATTAATAGCCTAATGCAGCTCAGACCTGATGGCAGGCGTTCACTGGATTTACTGGACACTGGGAGCTGAGCCTCATTCCCATAGGGATAAGCTGCTGAAGACTTAAAAAAAAGTCTTCACACTCAAAGCCATTTTTGACAGCTATCTGGGAGAAGGGAGGTTCTGTTAAGAGAAATCCTGTGCATTGTAGCCACCTTCAGAACTTGTCCTAGAAACCCCTCATACAGTCTCTGATGAGTTTTTAAAGTTAAACACACGCAGTGC